GACCTCTTAGTGCGAGCTCCATTGCTGGAAACCCCAGGGGCCAATCTTATCCTTGAAACCCCCACTGCTCTAAATCAATCCTCCGGTCTATGTCTTCTCCCCAAAAGACATATTCCACTAGACAAAGTTCCTTGAAAGAAAGAAGCTTCCTAAAAAGGCAATTTTCTACGAATGGAGGTGTTGTGGGAAAGAGTTTTTTTTTTTTAAAAAAAAAAAAATATTAAATTATGTTTTTTAATATTCTTATTATTTTTTTTGTTTGATATTTGTTTTATAATTTCTTTGATAATATATTAATAATAAATTTAATATATAAACTATATCAAATTATTAAACTTATAATAAATTTAATATTAATTTTTGTTATAACAACAACTTCAACAACAAACAATATCACATGTACTCTACTATCTATAGTAACTGAAGAGCCGGAGAGATGGAACAATGAGCCCATTCGAGAGTTCTTTTGGGGAAATAATTAATTTTCTACTTATAGATCTTATAGTCTACTTGATGAAGTTTTAGTTTTAGTTATTTTTAATTTTTTCTTTTCAAATTTTTTTATTTAAAAAAAAGATTTCATCAAACAATCTTCAAGTAAGTAGGCATAACTGCTACTTTCATATTTGATATTTTAATATTGCTTTTGAAATTTTTTATAATATTAGTTAAATATGGTACAAGTAGGCAAGCTAACATTTAACTTGTTATATGCAATGCATCCAAGAGATGTTGTTTCTTTCATGATATATACCTTGTTATATATAAATCAAATAAAGAGATAATGTTTACCTACTGGGATAATCCAAAAAAAAAAAATTTAATATCAATTTAATATTAAAATAATATTATTAAAAACTTTACTTGTAATAGTTCTTTATAATTAAATAAATAAATAACTTCAGTCTAATTACATATTAAAATAATAATAATAATAATATAATAATAATAATAATTTTTTTATATTACGTATTATAATTTTGACAAGCTTGTAATAATTTCTAGTTCGACTTTTTATAATTCTGATCTAGTGATCTGTATAATTCTGGTCAATTCATTATCTGATTTCAACATTATCTCCAAAAATTAAATCTTATACATAAATTAGGTCCAAAAAATATGATCACCACTGTATACTGTGTAACTTGTATAGGGTACTATTCGAGGAGGCGAGTGGAGTAATAAACATCTTTTGTTTGCACTAGCTACCATACTCTGGATCTATAATCTTTTGGACGTTAGTTTGTGATATTAATACGTATGCTTCAAATTTTCAATATTTCTTCATGTATTGAGTCAAAGACTATGCAATGCAAAAAATAATATTATTTATATTTAGTTCAACCATCGAAGTAGCCGTAACTTCTACTCTCGCTAAATATCTCCAAAATGATCGAAGATACAACTCTGTCGACGTTTTGTAACACGTTGGGAGTCTTTGTCATGGCCCTAATCATTGCCTATCATTTTGTTGTAGTAAATTCTAAACCTTCTCGAACTTAAATGTAAATTCACATAAACTTTATTCATAACCGGGCCGTTTATTGTCCAGTTAGATTCGTGAAGAACAGAAACTTAAATATAGTTCTTCCGAAGTTGGAAGATATGCAAATATCTTTAATGTGGTATTATTACATTATATTCTCAAATTAATAGAATAGATATTTTGAAATGCAATCAAAATATAAAGTTAAAGAAATGTATTTCCATCTGAACTTCAAAGGCGGCTCTCAACTTCTACAATAGGTGGATTTTCGGTCCAAATTTTCTCCCCATCAAATGCAGCCTGAAGAACATCATAAATATTGTTAGCATAAACGAACACGATTCCTTCCTTTACGTTTTCGGGTACATCTCCTTCCACGTCTTTACGATTTCGTGAAGGCAAAATAACTTTTTTAATACCCGCACGATGTGCGGCAATAATCTTTTCTTTGATCCCTCCGACAGGAAGCACAAGGCCGCGCAGTGTAGTTTCACCAGTCATTGCAGTTGTAGGAGGAACATATCTGTGAGTAAACAAGGACACAAGCGCTGTTGTCAGAGCAATTCCAGCAGATGGCCCGTCCTTACCGACCGCTCCAGCAGGAAAATGTATATGAATATCGCGTTCAAAAAAGAAACTCGATTCATTAGCAGCGGTTGTTATTCCCAATTGAAAAGAATGGGCCCGTACCCAAGAAAGCGCAATTTGAGCGGATTCTTTAATAACATCACCGAGTTTGCCTAAATAATGTTCAGGAATGATTATTTATTAAATAGAGGGAACGATAATAGTCATAAGATGTTTACCTGTCAACTGAATATTGCCTTTACCAGGCATCTGTGTTGCTTCAATGAATAAAATACCACCAGAACCATACGCTGTCCATGTCAAACCTGTGACAACTCCAGGCTTCGCGGCACGTTCAGCTACTTCAATATCAAACTTTTCCACCTGTGTATAGAAGATATTATTTTTTTTTATGAAGATCAAAAAAGGAAGAAATCGCCATTTAATCTTAATAGCGTACCCCAAGAATTGATTCCACATCTTCTGCAGTGACTTCAGGATTATATGCATGGGTTTCGCCATTATCTTTAACATCAGCATATTTTACAGCCTTTGCCCTACATACACTGGCAATCTCTCTTTCCAGGTTTCTAACGCCAGCTTCACGAGTATAGCCAACAGCGATTTTGAGCAGCACACCGTCAGAAATTTTAATATCATTAGGAGATAAACCATGAGATACTATTTGCTTTGGTAACAGATGTCGTTTCGCAATATGAATTTTTTCATCAAAAGTATACCCTGGAATTGAGATTATCTCCATGCGATCAAGCAAGGGCAGAGGTATGGAGTCGATTTGATTGGCGGTTGCAATAAATAATACTTTAGATAGATCAAGAGGAACATTAAGATAGTGATCGTTAAATGTATTGTTTTGTTCTGGATCAAGAACTTCAAGTAGAGCAGCAGATGGATCTCCATGGTTGCTCAAATGACCAACTTTATCAATTTCGTCTATCCATTCGAACGAACACGTTAATAGATAAAATTATGTAAATTAAAGAAATAAAATATATAGATCCATACTTACCAAGCAAAAATACTGGATTTTTGACTCCAACACGCCTAAGTCCCTGTGCTATCAATCCCGGCATCGCCCCAATGTATGTACGACGGTGTCCTCGAATTTCAGCCTCGTCCCTGACTCCACCTAAGGAGATTCTATGAAATTTTCTTCCAAGAGCACTGGCGATACTTTTACCTAATGAAGTCTTTCCAACTCCAGGAGGACCTTGTAAACATAATATCGGACCTCTAATGTCATCCTTTAATTTCAGCACCGCTAAATATTCTAATACGCGTTTCTTCACCGTTGTGAGACCATAATGATCATCTTCAAGTTGTTGTCGTGCTTTATTAATTTCCAAAACATCGGTGGTACACTTACTCCATGGAATTTCTGAAAGTGTTTCAAGGTAAGTGCGAACAATTTGATATTCTGCTTGAGTCGGATGCATGCGTTTGAGGCGCTTCAATTCTCGTTGAACAACTTTTTCAGCTATTCGGGAATAAGTCGTTAGTAACATTTTTCACAACTCTGGTTTATCCCAACTGTAATATTACCTTCCGCCGTTAATCCAGATGCCTGTAATCGCTTAATTAAATCAGTTACATCGTCATCATCTATGGACGAGTCATCACGATCACTCAACTCGTCCTTTATAGAATTAAGCTAAGATGGCAATTAATAAAGTGGTAATTAATATTCACCACATAATGCATTAAGAAAGTGAACTTATAGAAACTTACTTGGTTTCGCAAATAAAATCCCAGATATTTTTTTCCTTCAACAGCGGAATGGGTTTTTTGGGATATTTTTAGCATCTAAATATTTTTTATCGTTACATATTTTGCGTGAAAAATATTTTTTTAAAAAAAAAATCAACATCACATGGATTTCACAAAAAACAATATTGCAAAGCTAAATTTAAACACACTACATGTATTTGCCTGTTTAATAGATCTATTGTAGTAGTTATTCGTTTTTTCAAGTCATGAGCGTCTAAAATCTCCTATAAAAGTTAAAATAATATGAGATATTTAAGATTAATCAATAAAAACATAAAATATAATGAATACCAATTTTTCTTCATAAGTCAACTCAATCGTATTAACCAATAAATCCGCTAGCGAACCGGCGGGTGCATTGTCAATAAACTTTTGAAGTTGTACAAGTACTGGTAAAGGAACTTTTAAATCTTTTAGCACCGCCAGGAGTTCGCGACCTGTCGACTTTAAAGAACCTGCAAGTTCTTGCAATTCTTGGTCATCTTTCGGAATAGCTAAAAGAAAGAACTTTTTTAATACGAATTCAAAATAATTGTTGATAATTTTTTTATGTATGTATTAAGTTAATGACTTACAATACCTGGTTCAAGAAAAGCGGTCACCTCGGCTTCAAGATAAGGTCTCTCGAAAATATATCTTTCGATACGAATTCGAGCAATCCCTAAATACGCGTAGCAAAAATTTGTAGCAAAAGAAAGCCAAAAAAAATACTAGAAAATTCCAAAATTATGTACCCTCTACAACCGCCATGAAACCTGTACTTGTGCTTTCTAGACGAACGATTCGAGCCGCACATCCATACTCGTGCAGATCTGAAGTTTGATCAAAATGTTCACCAGTCTTTTTCTTCGGTGAAGAAGGTTTGCTCCCAGGATGTGTTAGAGGAGCAGTAGAAGCTATTGAATTTTTATTTGTAGTTGAAGTGGAACGGGGAAATGGAACACAGCCAACTATGTATTTGGTTTCTTTGCTGTCGACTGCTTTGTAAATCTTTTGTAAAAGTTGTACTGTATCTTTTTGAGAAGTATGAAAACGAAGGATAAGGCCGGGAAGTAAAACTATGTTTTTTATAGGAACAATTGGGAGAATGTTGGGAATAGAATGAAAGGCATTCATTTTCCTAAAGACGGATAGATGGTGGCAATCTAAATTTATCATGCGCATTACTTGCCGATCGTAAAGTCATGTGAATGTAGGTTAATTTAATAGTTGATCTTGTTACGGATCATTTTTCTGATCTCTCCTTGCTACAAGAATGGAATGCCCACATATTTTCACTGACGAAATTAAGGTTCCTTCCGCCAATACTTCAATTTATAAGGAGGAGTGCACCCTCTGTTTCGATTCACAGGTAGGCAATTAGGGCTCTCAATAGTTTTAATACGACTTTGGTGGACAAAGCTTTATACTTTTTATAATAGGACATGTCACCCGGGATAGAAGTTTGTTTGACTTGTTTCAACGCTGGTTGCAACAACTCTGAAAGAAATCATGCTCGGATCCATCACGAGAAATCAAATCATCCTCTGGTGCTAAATATCCTTCGCTTGACAAAGGATAAACCTAAGAGGGTACGATTTGGGAACTTTGGTTCAATTTTTACTCAGGTTACACATACGCTACCCAACCTTTAATAATAATAATATATGTAGATCGACGATAATGAAGAGCCGCCCCAGAAAATCAGCAAACTCGCAATTATCCCAGAATCTGATGAGGAGAAATATGAGTACATCACTAGGGTCAAGTGTTATGCATGTGACAAAGAAGTAGAAAAGACGTCCGGAAACGTTAGATTAATATAATATATATGTATATCATTTTAGCCTGCAAATAATTAACAACTAACAAAAATTTCTACTTCAATTAGTTACCTCAAGTGATCGATGCAGTGATGACGTCCGTGTCAGCTGCAAGAAGATCTGAAATTAAAGCATGGGAGGAGGAAATCACAGAGTGTACTCATACCAAAAATTTGTTGCAGGATCCTCCCAAAAATTTGGAATCAAAAGGTTGTCTCTTTATTTAATGAAACTTTTTACATGCCTTTAACTTACTAAATAAAATAATGTTTTTGTTTGACAGCCTGCAATGGTTGTGAATTGAAAGAAAATCTTTGGTTATGTTTAACTTGTGGGAATATTGGGTGTGGACGTCAACAATATGGTGGGGTTGGTGGAAATGGGCATGGTTTAGCCCATTACGAACAAACAAAACATCCAGTAAGCTGCAAGCTGGGCACCATTACTCCTGAGGGAACAGCAGGTAAACCTGTTAACATTATATAAAACGTCTTTTCTTTTTCCCCTCTCATGAATAAATCGATCTTTTTTTCCCTTCAGATATATATTGTTATGTGTGTAATGATTCAAAATTGGACCCTTTCTTGGGAAAACACCTGGCCAATTTTGGAATTATGGTCGAATCTCAACAAAAAACAGAAAAAAATATGACTGAACTCGTATGTGTGCTATTTTATTTTAATATTGAAAAGGTCTTTGACTAATTTACTTAAAATTTGTTCAGCAAATTGAACACAACCTCAAATATGACTTCAGCATGGTTACTGAGGACGGCAAAGAATTGGAACCTCTATTTGGACCTGGTTATACCGGGATTAAAAATTTAGGTAACAGGTATTGTAATTCACAATTAGCTTGATCGATTAATTGATCTTAGATACTCACTAACTTATTTTTTATTTTACTTTATGTAAAGTTGTTACATGGCTTCCGTTTTACAATCTGTATTTGCTTTGGATGCTTTTCAGAAAAGGTAAGTTCGATCAAAAATTTTTAGACGACATTCGCTCAAAGGCTAAGAAAGATCTCAATGAAAAAAAAAGATATTTTCCGACTGCTTTTGATCACCAAATGCACTGTTTGCAAGAACCGACAAGTTGCATTCAGTGTCAATTATCGAAGGTTGCTGATGGTTTATTGAGCGGTCGTTACTCACAACCTATTCAATCAACTGATGCCGAAAACACAAAAAGCGGTCAAGAAGGTATAGCCCCCACTATGCTTAAAGCTCTTATCGGAAAAGGTCATCAAGAATTTTCCACGATGAGACAACAGGTTTAGGATTCATTAATATATTTTGATTTTCTTATTTTAAAAATTTTTTTTATGAATGGTGTTGTTCTCATCTAACTAAATTCTTTACCAAATTTAGGACGCTTTCGAATTTTTTCAACATCTCATTACAACAATTGAACGCAAAGAACACAACAATCTGGATAATGATCCTACGAACGTTTTTAAATTTACGGCCCAACAACGCCTTCAATGTTTGGAATGTAGACGTGTAAGATATCGAGACAACACTGAATCATACATTTCTATTCCTGTTCCAGCAAAAAAGATTAAAACAAATGATGATGGCAAAGATGAATACGAATCTGTTACTTTTGAACAATGTCTGCAATTTTTTGCCGCGGACTCGACAATCGAATACCTATGCCCGGCTTGCAACCGAAAAACCAATGCCACGACGTATGAATACGGAAATTTTTAATTTTCGCCTTGAGCTTTAAACTATATTCTTTTTGCGATTACAATACATTTTTCGTTTTTAAAGGTCCACAAGGTTTGTGACATTTCCCGAGGTTCTCTTCGTTCATACACGAAGATTTGAGTTTGACAATTGGGTCCCTCGTAAAATAGGTCAGATAAAATCTGGAATGTTTGCATCTTTTCACGCCGCATTACCTAATGAATTGTCTATTATTCTTAGGTGTTCCTATTTTTTTTGACAAAGATCTTGTTAGTCTTGACAATTACATCGCTCACGGAAAGCAGGAAAATGAAGAACTTCTTCCGGAAGAATCAAATGTTGGTTGGTATGGGTTTATATTTTACACTTAATGGACAATAATAAAAAATTGTATGCTCAAGTCAACCCTTAAACAGGTTCTGTGCCACTATATGATCAGTCTACCTTGGATCAACTGTTGTCAATGGGATTTCCGGAAAATCGATGTAAGAGGGCGTTGGCTTCTACTGGAAATAATGATGTAGACGCGGCAGTGGGATGGATATTTGAACATATGGATGATGCCGGTTAGATTCTTGATGAATCTGTGAGATTCGGTCATAAAATTTCGGTAGTAACCAAGTTTTTGTGAAAATTTTAAGATATAGATTCCCCTATTACAGGATCTGGTACACAAGAACCATCTGAAAGTGATATCATTCAACTTATGGATATGGGATTTCAACAATCAAAAGTCAAGAAGGCCCTAGCAGAAACTGTTGGTTTGGTTTTATTTATTTATTCTAGTCATTTTCTTATTGATTTACAATTTAATTTCTTGCGCAGGATAACAACATCGAACGAGCTGTGGAATGGTTATTTAATCATCCTGAGGAAGTGGATGAACAAGAAAATATAGACAACAATTTTACATTTGGAGGTATTAAATTTCATTGAACTTTCGTTATATTATCACTTTACTTGCATCGATATTAAGCTAGTTTTTTGTTAGTTTCTACATTACCCGCCGAATATCAGTTACATAGTGTCATATCCCATAAAGGAACATCTGTACATTGTGGCCATTATGTTGTCCATGTGCTTAAGGATCAAGGATGGATTTTGTTCAACGATAACAAGGTCGTATGTGCATCTCAGCCGCCTCCTGAAGAATCTTACATCTTTGTCTTGAGAAGGATACGTTCATAATTCTTGTTTGATGGTCTACAATCTAATTGTGATTCTATTGTCTCTATCAAAATATTCATTTCAAGCTAGAAAAAAAAATAGTAAAACGATTATGGAAAATGAGATGGTTTCTTTTAGATGGTATTTGTGATTATATGGTTGAATTGAATATATATGTAATAAAAAGAATTTTTTATTATAAATTTTGAATATAATGAAGAACTGCTTAATAAATTATTATGGTTAATCAAAAATAGTTAGCATATATTTAACTTTTTATTTTATTAATGAAGTTAGTTTTTATATTGTATATTAAGTAAATATGTCTTTATAATAAATTCTACTTACAATAAATTTTTTTTAATTGCTAAGGTAAAATGCATTTCATTATCTTTGTTAAGAGTAATTTATAATTACATGTTATAATATTAAAATATAAGATATAAGAATATAGCTATAGTTCTGAAAATCAGACTTGTATAGATTCAAAACACTATTAAAAATCATGATGGGGTATAACCTATATATGTTGCTGAAATTCGTAGATCCTTGATGCAATTGACACAATTTTTTGACGCAATTAATTGAGTTACTATTAAAACATATAAATAATTGAGTCATGATGTAATTATTTTTGAGGATTTTGGGAATTGAGTCAACAGCAAAATAATTTACATTATATGTATAGTTCAGATGATCTTTTAAGTCTTTATTTATTGAATAGTAAATAGAAATTTAAAAGTATATATTTTGACAAGTTAGTTCTCTATTAGGATTTTGATGTTAATAATATAGAAGATATGGAAGATAACAAATTAATTAATAGATAGCTTTATTATTTTAGATAGTTTAGAAAATAGATAGAGTCTAACATTTGTTACAAAATATATAAAAGAATTTATAATAATATTCAATAAACAAGATATATGCCAGTTATTAAAAAAAATTTTTTTAGATATTATAAAATATAATTTTTTAAAGTTTCAAATAATAATAATTATATAATTGCTTTTTAAATATATTTAGTTTAATTATTAATAAGTAAATAATATTGAATTTAATAATAATTATTATATTAATTTTTGAAAAAAGTAAACTATTATTTTTTTTTTAATAAATTATAGAAGAAAAATTTTTTTTTAAAGTTTATATTTTAAAAAAAATATCTATTTTTTAATATAATTCTTAAAAAAAAAAGTTAACTAATTAGAAAAGTGACAAAATACAATATAATTTTTATAAAAAAAAAATTATAAAAAAAAAAAACTTAATTTCAATAAGAAAAAAAAAGTATTATAAAAAAATTTATAGAAAAAAAAAGTTAAGTAAAAAAAAAAAATAAACAATTCAAAAAATTTTTAAAAAATTTTTTAAATATAAAAAAAAGTGAAAAAAAGTTTTTTAAAAATAATTTATTAAATAATTTATTAGTATTAATAAATAAATATATATACAGTAATGTGCAAAAAAAACTGGAATCATATATTTACTTATAATTCAATAATTAATTAATTAAATTATATAAAACTTTATAAATAAGTTCTTTAATATCTTATCAATAAGTTTGTTATAAGTCATATATATAAATATAATAATAAGATTTTTTTTATTTTATTTTTAAATATAACAAAAGATAAAAAAAAATCAATTCACAATTTTTTATATAGATTTTATAATAAAAAACTGTTTGAAAAATCATTCAAAAATTTTAATTCTATTTAAATTTTAAATATTTTTATAAAAAAAGTATACTTAAATTAAAAAAAAAATTTTTTTTTTTTTAATTCCACAATCAGGTTGGTATCATTTATTTATTGAATCATAAAGAACTATTACACACATGAGAATACATGCAAAATACAAATTTCTCTGATCCAACTCACCCATCTTTAGCCAAAGCCTCTAGATACGATTTATGGGGATGATATATTGTTCCCCTAAAGGATAGAATTAAGATTCCAAATTTTCAATAGGATCAGCATCTGCAGATCACCTTCACAGTCATGACCATAAATTCAAATTGTGTTATCTCCCTCTTGTAGAAACTATGCAAAAGAAAAAAAAAATAAAAAAGGATTTTTTTTGACAAAAAGAAAAGAAAAAAAAAGCTATCATCTATTCTAACTATCATTGAAAAGGTTATCTCGGTAAACTTAAAACCCAAGCCCCTCATGGATTCCCACTTCTCACTACTTGTGGCCAGTTAAACTGTTTAATTTCCAATGGAGTAGTCGATGTCCAAGAACGTTTAAGGGCACTTTCAGGAGAGTATTTCTTGAAACTTTATGCTTGAAGATTTCTAATCAGAAAGAATATTGGTTTTCTATTGTTGATTTCTTTTCCAAGCCATGTCTTCTGGAATTATAGATTCACTCAACCAGTGGATAGTTCAAGATCCCTTTCTCCAACCATTTCCAGGATAGATATTGATAGGATTCTGAAAAAGTACTAAACTGGTATCAAAATGGTATTGAAATGATATCGATTTATAGTAAATTTAATATATAGGTTGTGACTATACATGTGGTATAAATTATTTGCTATTGACTTAATTCCCAAAATTCTCAAAAATAATTGTGTCATGACTCAATTATTTATATGTTTTAATAGTGA